ATACAATATCGTTCTCATGTTCATTATTATTACAACTTCTCTGCAATTACTCAGATCCTCTGATTTCAAAACGACTTCACATCTACTTTCCAAAATAGACTGTGGTTTAGACTTTAGAGCAGGGGTCCTCAAACTGCGGCCTGCAGGCCACATGCGGCCCGCCGAAAACATTTGTTTTCTTACTTCAAAATAAGATATGTGCAGTGTGCGTAGGGATTTGTTCATAGTTTTTTTTTAAACTATAGTCCGGCCCCCCAACGGTCTGAGGGACAGTGAACTGGCCCCCTGTTTAAAAAGTTTGAGGACCCCTGCTTTAGAGCAAAGCTACTCAAAGTGTAGTCCATACACTTATGACAGAATTGCTTGTAATGGTCTGTGATGAGTTAAGTATGGAAAATCAAAGTACTAGTAAGCATTTAAGAAACTTCATAGCAATACTGTAACTTTATGTGGTGATAGATGTGTTAACTAACCTAATTGTGGTAATCATTTCACAATGTATACATATATCAAATCATTACATTGTACAACTTAAACTATACAATGTTGTAGTCAATTATATCTCAACAAAAGGGAAAAAAAGAACCTTTATAGCAATTCGACAGAGTAATTTTGTCTATTGAATTTAACAACAAAAAATAAATTTTTATTTATACCTTTTTTCTTATTTTTCTAGTGATCCATTTTTATTGTCTTTTACAAAAGTACCAGTATGAATGAACCCTGGCTGGTAGCTCAGTGGTTAGAGCATTGGCCTGTGGTTGGAAGGGTTGTGGGTTCCATTCCCAGTCAAGGGGCTGTACCTCCACTCCAAGTTCTGGTTGGATCCCCAACCCTGCTGGGGCGTGTGCAGGAGGCAACCAATCAACGTGTCTCTCTCACATCAATGTTTCTCTCTCTTTCCCCTGCTCCTCCCTCCCTTCCACTCTGAAAAATCAATGGAAAAAATATCCTCAGGTGAGGATTAAAAACAAACAACAACAACAACAATAAAAATCCACAGAAAAGTATCAGTATGAGAGGGACTAGAATTTTTAAAAAGGCACATAACATAGATAGCTTACAGAAACTCAATTGCTGAAGAAGCAAATCCTCAAAGACTTTTTCAATCTTTTACTACTTTCAGTTACTATTCTCATAAATGTGAAAAAAATGTAGTAAGAGATTAAAAATGCAGAAAGAAAATAGTATCACTTAAAATATTCTTATACTCTGGCTTTACAAAAGGTATGATGTAAGGTTAAACATTAACAGACTTTCAGCTTTATATTTTAACTAGAGGCCCAGTGCATGGATTTCATGCACGGGGTAGGGTCCCTAGACCTAGCCGGCGATCAGGGCCAATCGAGGCCTTCCGGCTGCCGGCTGGGGCCTTCATTATGCGCCGCCCCCTGGTCATCAGCGCACATCATAGCGAGTGATTGAACTCCTGAGGGGACACTTTGAATATTAGCCTTTTATATACATAGAGAGAGAAAGAGAGAGAGAGATCAGAAACACTACATGAATTTTTAAAATTATTACTTATTGTAGCATATTTCATATAAGGTTCTCAACCTTGACTAATTCTCAATAACTACAAGTTATACCTGAAACTATTAAGTATTATTTATACATAAATGGGGAAACATTTAACAAATTTGCCTAAGGTAAAAAACTTTCCAGTGTAGAACTTGCAGCTCTTGACTCTCAATGTCAATTCTTTCCATAATGTAACAGAACATGTTAGAACTCATTGAAGAATGTGTTCATTGAAACCAGCAATGGAATATGAGGAGCACTTCAGAACTCCCTCTATTTGTATATCTGTGATCTTCAATATAAAGTCTACTTTCTTAAACTCAAAATAAGCAAGACATTTACAGAAATATTTTAATATAACTTTATAGTTATAGTATTTTTTAAGTTATAGTATTTCACATATTTACTGGCAATAAAATTACTTCAATTTTTACTTGAATATTACAGAACTGACCCAAGCAAAGTGGCAAGTGAACAAGTGAGATGTCCTGAGCAGTCTAGTTCATTAAACTTATTATTAAAATTCCAAACTTAAACAATTACACTACTTTAAAATGTACATTATTATTTCACTTAGATATATCTTACATTCCTAAATAAACAGTGCTGACAGAAAGTGTGAAAAATGTATCTACTGTGACTTAACCTAACTTTCCAGTTAGTCTGTAAAAACGCACTTAAAACACCTAAAATATATACATATTAAATGTTTCTTTTAAAAAAAAGTAACCACTTAAGACAAAAAATATGTATTTAAAATGATTAAGAAATCTGAGACTAATATCTATACTAATAAAAGGGTAATATGCTAATTAGACCAGGAGACCTTCCGGACAAAGCCATGGTGGTGGGGCCAAGGCAGAGGCAGTTAGGGATGAGCAGGCTGGCAGGGAGGGCCAGTTGGGGGCAAGCAGGCCAGCCGGGGGGGGGGGGGGGGCATCTGGGGGCGAGCAAGCTAGCAGGGGGGGGCAGTTGGGGGAGATCAGGCCGGCGGGGGGTGGCAGTTGGGGGCAAGTAGGCCAGCAGGCAGAGTGGTTAGGAGCGATCAGGCAGGCAGGCAGGCAGGTGAGTGGTTAGGAGCCAGTGGTCCCAGATTTCGAGAGGGATGTCCGACTACCGGTTTAAACAGGGATGGGGCCTAAACCGGCAGTCAGACATCCCCTGAGGGGTCCCAGATTGGAAAGGGTGCAGGCCAGGCTGAGGGACACCTCTCCCCCCACCCCACCCCCACCTCTGTGCATGAATTTTGTGGACCAGGCCACTAGTGAGATTATAAATGTGTAAAATCTACACATCTAACTGGGAAGAATTTTGGGCAAAAATGGTAGGTAGGTCCTTATCCACTAAACAATGTCAATGTTACAAGAAAAAATAGGTAAATTTATAAGACTATAACAGGTCCATACATGATTTTTAAAAAATTAATACATCATATTCAGTATGCAAAGGAAAATGTTTTCATTGGAACTTTCTGACTTATATGGTAATCTGAATTTATCATATTCCAAAGTTGGGGCATTTAACATACTGCTTGCTACAGCTGTACTTTTATTCCATCATGTCAATCAGAAATCTAAATATATCCTAGAAAAGAATAAATCTACCCAAGAAGAGATTGTAATGTGTTATTAGATTTTTGGAATGATCCCCACTTCTGTGGTGTAAACAAATGTTTAGGGAGATCCTTTAAAATTTTTTTGCAATTTTCATTAGAAAGGCAATGTTGATAAAAGATCCTTTTTCTTTTTTATGTGTTGGATAATCTTGTGAAGGACTTCTGACAACAACTGCACATACAATATAAAAATAAAAACACAAGAGGAAAAATAGACAATTTGACTTTCCCTTTACTTGCCAAGGGTATCCAGCACACCAAACAAATAGAAAAAAATTGTAGCTTAAAAATGGAATATGCTTTTTCCTAGGGAATCTATTTTCTCCTTATGTACTAAAGTGAAAATGGCAGAGTATATTTTAAATCTACCTCCCACACATCATTAAGGACCAAAAATGAATCATTTAATCCTTTTGTCAATATTGACAGTAAAATATTGGATATGGGAAATATGAGCAGATGTGTTCTCTACTTCAGAATAACAGGAAAGTCACCCTTTAAAAAGTGAAATTATAACAATAAAATGGCAGAGGCAGTTAGGGGTGAGCCACTTGCCTACCAAATGGTGCTTTAAGTGCGTTTTTACAGACTAACTGGAAAGTTAGATAAGTCACAGTAGATACATTTTTTACACTTTCTGTCAGCACTATTTACTTAGGAATGTAAGATATATCTAAGTGAAATGGCAGAGGCGGTAAGGGGTGAGCCACTTGCCTACCAAAATGATTAAAATGAACCATTAAACTTATTACTTTTTTTCTGACTTCAAAAGCAATCAAGAAATTGATAGGATTTTAACTGGATTATTATAAGGGACAAGCTACCACCTCAAATTGAACCCAACTTTTGCATAAGAGTATATGTAAGTACTTCCCAACACACTATGACCAGTAAATATGTCTCTCCATCCCTGAAACAAATAATCAGAATATGGTCTCTCAAATCCCTATTACTTTCCAGTTTAAGAGAAAAGAAACTGTTGAAACTTTCAGAAGTGCTGTTCAATAAAAGTTTAAGTGTATACATTTAAATAGTAATGGCAGCAGGAAAGAATAGGGAAATGTTCCATGAAAAACATCTCTTAAAATCTATTAATACAAGCTTTAAAAATTTATCTTCATAGAACAAAGGAAACTATAAAGAAGGGAAACTAAAGAAAAGTAAGAGAGAAAGAAAGAAAAGGGAGAGGGGAGAATATTCACTCTTTTATTTCAGAATAGAACTGGATTTCTTTGGTAACTTCTTGACTAATGGTAGGACCATCAAAAAAAGTTTTAAAGCAGGAAATACACTCTTCCATTCACCACCAATAAACTTCACAGCGTTGAACACATTCGTGTGAAGAATTCTTTTACTCATGTGGTTAGAAAATTCAACTTTTCCTCGAGACTAGTAAAGAGATCGGTGGGAAAGGGTGCTGCCCCCACTCATACTTGAGGTTCCTGCCTGAATTTTCATTTTCTGGGTCCCTTTCTCCGTTGTCCCGATCTGCTGATCTCCGCTTCGCTTTAGGCCGGCGATTTCTCAGTTGTCATTGTCTAGGCTCCACTCTAGGCAGGCGAACTTCTCCTCCTTGCCGCGGCTTCCCCGGCTGTATGTAAACCGAGGCTAACACCTCGCCGTTGGGAATGCATGCTAGCTGGCCCAAATGCCTGCCATCCTCACCTGCACCCGCTGGGTGAAAAGCACCACGAGAGCACCACCTAGGCTCGGGACCGTCCGAGGCTCGGCTACCCCCATGCCCGCGTGGCCTTTTCATGTCTCCGGGACCGGGCAGGGAAGGGGAATGAGGGCTTTGACGTGAACGGGTCACGCGACTGTCATTTAAACAAACAAACAAAAATCCCACCCGGAACACACTCACCTTGAATGACATGCTCCGGAGAGATGGTCTTCTTCTCCGACTTGTTGCAAATCTCATTGGCTTCCGAAGAGATCAGGTGAATGAATTCAGTGCAGCAGTTCACCACCAGCTCCCGGGCATCGTTGGCCACCCGGACATTGGGGAGAGTCTCTTTGATCATCTTATTGATCGCAGCTCTGGGGATAGTCAGATCGTCATCGTTGCCGGAGGAGGAAGCCATCGTCTCTTCCGAGCTCGCGCGCCGCCTCGCCCTCAGACAGCTCCCCGGCTCTGGTCCACTCGCTCCTCCACAAAGGTTTTTCAAAAGGCCGCCCTCGGAGCGGTCCGGGGGCGCTGTGCGAAGAGGGCGCAGAAAACGAAGGGGGCAGGGCTGGCGCCGGAGGGCGAGGAACACCCTGTGTGAGGCTCTGGGCGAGGTCGGGAGGGGCGTCGCGGGGCAGAGGATGTGGGGGCAGCGCTGCCCGGGGGAAGGGAAAGTGAGGTGGTGAGGGGTTTGAGCACCAGGAACCACCTCCGTGTAGCCCCGGAGAGGAGGGCGCTGTCGCCCAACCGGTCCCCAGCGGCGCCGGAGCACAGGCAGGTCCAGGGACACAGGCTTCGCTGCGGTGCCCGGCGGACACGCCGCGGGCTGGGCACTAACGAGCCGGAGCCGCCGCGGCCGCCGCCGCCAGCCGCCGTTGCCGCCGCCTCGGCCAAACCATCCTTCGGACACCACGCCGCCGCCTCACAACATGTCGGCCGCGGCCGCTGCCAGAACCCGGGCGGGCGGCTGGGAGCGACAAGGGACAGAGTCAGGCACAAGGGAAACCGCACTGGGGGCCGCTGTGGCCGTTTAGCCCGAACGCAGATCGTGGAAGCCGAAACCGCGGCAACGGTGGTCCCTCAAGAGGCCAGAGAAGGTTTGCGGGAAGCCTCTCCCGACACCCTTTGCGCTACCGGAAGCCTCTCCTCCAGGCCCACCCCCCCTTCCCGACCGAGTTCCGGGAGTGACGGCGCCCTTCCCCCACCCGCGCCTTCCGCCCATCCGCGCGGCCCCCACTTCCTCCCGCCGCGGTCCGGGCACGCGCCCTGGTCCCGCGCCTTCCCGGGGCCCGGGGCTGGGCGGGCGCGCGCCTTGCGGTCCCGGCGCCCCGAGCACGCGCCCGTTGGCGGCTGCCGCGCGGGACACCGCTTAGCGGGCGGGAGGGGTCCGCCAGCTGACGCCTCAAACCTTCTCCGAGCCGCGTTCCGGGACAAAGGGGCGCTGGCTTTCGTTAAAGGAGCTCCCTTTGCTGTTCCTCAAAGAGCCTGAGTTGGGACTGAAGAGGAACGAGGCCTGGACTCTGGAGTGAGCGGTGGGGAAAGCCCGTGTGTCTGCCTGTCCGCACGGTCCCCGGCGAAAGCTTCTGATGGTACCCAGGAGACATGCTTGGCATCAAAGCTTCCTGGGGTCCGCCACACCGTTTCGTTTTATGGGAAAGAAAAACATGCAGAGCAGTGACTTGCCCTCCCAGTCACTAGTAATGGCTAAGCCGGAAGCTGGAAAAGTGATTCAAGGTAGTGGAAATGCTGTGCACCGTGCAGGGAGCCACGTGAGAGGTTCCGCCTGGGCCATGGTGCATGGGGTGCTGCATGTCGGCTTCCGGAGGGGGAAAGTATGTGAAAGCATCGAAGCAGCTCTGAGTTTTGCTTCTGTCCAGATGTCTAGTAATGTCAGTGTATATTAAGTTCTTCACAAAAACTGCATTTTTAAAAAAATTAAGTTTGTCATACTGTTATTTGGAAGAAGAGCCTATGTTATAAGTCAGTTTGGGCACTATAGTTAATCAGATACTTTGTTCCTGATACATTGGACAGCAACAGGCTTATTTGAAATGTTTTCTTAAGCTAGTTTAAGGAAGACCCTAGATGTACCTCCAGGAGATCTTGGTTAATTATACTGTTTTGTTCTTGTCTTTATTTTTAAAAAATATATTTTTATTGAATTCAGAGAGGAAGGAAGAGGGAGAGAGAGAGAGAAGCATCCATGATGAGAGAGAATCATTGATCGGCTGCCTTCTACTGGGATTTGGGCCACAACCCAGGCATGTGCCCTTGAGCGGAATTGAACCCAGGACCGGTCAGTCCTCAGGCCAAAGTTGTATCCACTCAGCCAAACCAGCTAGGGCTTGTTTTTGTTTTTCATTTAGCATTTTCTCCAGTACACTTGCCGGTTCTTTAATTTCTAAAGTGCAAACTCTGTTCAATGCTACTAAGTTTAACCAAACCAAAAATGTTTTGATTAAACAATAAAATAATGAGGACACATTTGTAATACCTTAACTAATAAAAAAATTAAAATTAAATAAAATTTTCTTCAAAATAGGCATGCCTGGGTTTTCAGCTAAATTTACAATAATTTATAACATTTGTAATTTGAAGCTTAACATTAAAAAAAGCAAACAATACTGTCCTTTTTGTTCATTTGTCATTGCTAATACACCAATTGCTAGTTTGCGGTAATATAAATTTAAAAAATAAATTACAGCCCAGCCGGCGTGGCTCAGTGGATGAGCATCTACCTATGAACCAGGAGGTCACGGTTCAATTCCAGATCAGGGCACAAGCCTGGGTTGCAGGCTAGATCCCCAGTAGGGAGCGTGCAAGAGGCAGCCGGTCAATAATTCTCTCTTATCATTAATATTTCTATATCTCTCCCTCTCCCTTCCTCTCTGAAATCAATAAAAATATATTTTAAAATAAATGAATAATAACTAACATCTATTATATGTGATTAGCGCTGTGCTTAAGTGTTATCTCATTTAATCCTCAGAGCAACCTTACTTGAAAGATACTGTTTTAATTTCCATTTTACAGATAAAAATAAAGCTAGGAAAAGCTAAGTAACTTCCCTAAAGTCAATATAGCAGTCAAGTCCAGCTGGTGTGGTTCAGTGGTTGAGAATTAACCCATGAACCAGGTCCCTGGTTTGATTCCCAGTCTGGGCATATGCTAGGGTTGCAGGCTTGTTCCCCAGTAGGGGGCATGCAGGAGGCAGCTTATCAATGCTTCTCTCCCACTGATGTTTCTATCTTTCTCACTTCCTCTCTCTCTAAAGATCAATAAAGACATATTTAAAAAAATATAGCCTTCCCCCCCCCCCCCCCCCCATGCAGCACACAATACTAGTAGATATCTCACATTCCTATTGTGGAGAGCACATCCCCTGTGCCCATGTGGGCCTCCACACATGAACTATTAGACTTTAATTAGTTTGGATGTTAAACTACTCCCAACTGTAACATGGAAAGGAAGCTCTGGACACTGGCCTGCTCCTAGAACCCTAGCTGTACCTTTTCCAGGACTGGCTGCTCCCAATAAACTTTGGTTCCATTATATATATATATACTGAGTGACAAGACTATTATGACCACCTGACGTTTGTAGGCAAATTAGCTATAATTTCACACTGAAGTTACTAGAGGGCCAGACCATTATAAATAGGGAAGCAGGTTGTTTACCATGACAGTAGAAGTGATTTTTTTCTGAAGATATGGGTAAACAACACGATTTAACAGCCTTTGAACATGGGATATATATATATATATGTGTATACATATATATATATATACACACACACATATATATATATATATATACACACACATATATATATATATATATGCAGATTATTATGACCACCCCATCAGTACTTCATTGGGCCACCTTTTGCCTTCAATACTGTGGCGATTCTTTTTGGCATTGACTCCACGAGATGTTGAAAGGTGATGTGAGGAATCTGACACCATGCCTGATGAATAGCACTGTCCAGTTCTGTGAGATTTGATGGTTGTGGAACCAGCTGCCTGATGGCTCTTTTAACTTCGTCCCACAAATGCTCAATTGGATTGAGATCTGGTGATTGTGGGGGCCACCTAAGCAAGGTAAAGTCTCCCTCATGTTCTTGAAACCACTCCTGCACAATACGAGCACCATGGCATGGCGCATTGTCTTGTTGGAAGAAGCCATCTCCATTGGGATACACCATCAACATGATAGGATGAACCTGATCAGCAACAATACTTAGGTATGCTGTGCTATTCAGACATTGTACCACACGAATTAAAGGGCCCAAATCATGCTAGGAAAACATGCCCCAAACCATAACACTGTCCCCACCAGTTTGAAGGGTTGTACTCATGCATGTGGGGTACATGCTTTCATGCTGTTTCCCCCCACTTCTTACTCTGCCATCTGCATGATGCAACTGGAAACGTGATTCATTGGACCACATGACTTTTTTCCAACATTCAACTGTCCAATCCTTGTGTTCCTGTGCGAATTGGAGACGTTTTATCTTGGCAACTGCAGACAGCAAAGGTGTTCAAACAGGCCTTCGGCTTCCATATCCCATACGATGCAGTGTATGGCTAATTTGCCTACAAATGTCAGGTGGTCATAATAATCTGGCCACTCAGTATGTATATGTATATATATATATATCTCCCACGTTCAAAGGCTATTAAATCACGTTGTTTACCCATATTTTCAGAAAAAAAATCACTTCTACTGTCGTGGTAAACAAACTGCTTCCCTATTTATAATGGTCTGGCCCTCTAGGAACTTCAGCATGAAATTATAGCTAATTTGCTGCAAACGTCAGGTGGTCATAATAATCTGGCCACTCAGAGTGTGTGTGTGTATGTCATGTTCAAGGCTGTTAAATCGCGTTGTTTACCCATATTTTCAGAAAAAAAATCACTTCTACTGTCGTGGTAAACAACCTGCTTCCCTATTTATAATGGTCTGGCCCTCTAGCAACTTCAGCACGAAATTATAGCTAATTTGCCTACAAATGTCAGGTGGTCATAATAATCTGGCCACTCAGTATATATATATATATATATATACACACACACATACATACATACATACTAGAGGCCTGACGCACAAAATTTGTGCAAGAGTAGGCCTTTGCAGCCACGGTGACTGCCTGGATCCTTCCCTCGCAGCAGCAGCAGCTGCCTCGATCCTGTGGCTGCAGCCCTGGCTTTGTCCAGAAGGTTGTCCAGAGGGACATCTGGTCTAATTAGCATATTATGCTTCTATTATTATACTAGAGGCTTGGTGCACAAATTCATGCATGGATTGGGGTGGGGGGTCCCTCAGCCCAGCCTACTCCCTCTTGCAATCTGGGACCCCTTGGAGGATGTCTGACTGCCAATTTACTGTGGGATTGGGCCTAAACTGGCAGTCGGACATCCCTCTCGCAATCTGGGACAACTGGCTCCTAACCACTCGCCTGCCTGCCTGCCTGATCACCCCTAACCACTCTGCCTGCCTACCTGATTGTCCCTAACCACCTCTGCCTGCCTGCCTCATCACCCCTAACTGCTCACCTGCCTGCCTCATCGCCCCTAACCACTCTGCCTGCCTGATCTCCCCTAG